TAAAATTAAGGATTTATAAATATTTGTGAGTACAGATGATGGAGCAAAGTGTCTCAGAGTAGCAATCATTCCTATGGTCTTATTTTAGTGATAACACAGTCCAAATGGTTTTTCCAAGAAAGATTTCATCGATTAAAACACCCAAATACTTGATATAACTCTTATGTTCCGAGCTTATTCTTCTATTTTTTTCACTATCAAATATACTTATTTGAGGAAGATAACGGATTTTCTTTTGTCTAGGGCGAAAAATTACAAGATTTGATTTTTTTGTATTCAAAGTCAATTTATTTGTAGTTAGCCAGTCATGTAAATTGTTCAGTTCAGCATTGACCGTCTGTTCTAAAGACTTGGTGTCCTTGTCAGCATAGAGAATATTAATTATGTAATTGTAGCACTGTTGTGGTTATAGAATATAAAAGGGGACCAATCAGAGGGTACTGCGAGTTGCATAGAATCCTCAATTGATAGAAATTTGAGAGAATGATCAACTAATCTGATGGCTTCTGTTGCTTTAAACATGAAAAAAAAAAACAACAACAACAACCCAGAGTATGTTGGCTTATTATCTGAAACACGAGCAACTCTGTAGAAAACAACTTGTTGGTATGACTGGTCAGAGTAAGGGTTAATTATAGATGCTGACCCGAATTATACAACTTTAAGAATGTTATTGAATCCTGTACAAATAGTTTTGTCAGGCTGACTGATATTCTTACCTTTATGAGATCTCACTAACTCACTCACTCATGCTTGTTACTCTTAACTGGCATGTAGGGCAGCAACGTGCTCGCATGCAGCGATAGATTATTATCTCAGTCATGTATTTTTTTTATTTTAAGGGATAAGTGTGGGGCAGCTGCAGTGGCAGGGTTCTTTCAGTTATGTTAATATTATAATTATTTTTATATTACGTAACATAGGGCCTTTTTTTATATCAATTTCTTTCTTCTAGAAGATGTGATTGATGATTCAGAATTAATCTTTCAGACTCTTGCTATGCTGAAACCAAAAGGAATCAAAGTCTTTGGTACAATGGCCATGGTGCGCAACAGTGTTGGTGCAGGTAAAGCAACACATACAGTCTAAATGGTGTCTCACGTTGAAATACTGCATTTTAAGTACCCCTGTGATGATACGTCTTAGATAAATCTTAGCCGCATGTTAAATTAACTGTGTTCACGTATTGAAAAATTAAAGTTCTGAGGCTTGAATGTCACTTTCGCTTTCAATCAGCTCTAATACCTTAAGCCTTAACAACATCAACAATATTAGTACTGACCGGAACGGAGATGCTTCTTTAATTTATGCTTTCAATTATGAATCCTTCTCTTTACTGTTATCATCGTTAGAAAAGCAAACTTTAATTATGTGAGTTCATCACCAAAAAATATTAAATAAATGTACAATTTCAGAGGGCTATGTTGCTGATGAGATTATAACCTCTGCCGCTGGGGCCAGGATTAGGGTTGGTAACACTGATGCTGAGGGTCGCATGGCTATGGCTGATTGTATGCATCATATGAAACTCAAGGTAATATTGTGAATTTAAACATAAAGCAAATCAATAAAATTTAACATACTCATCAAAGAGTAACAAGAAAGCGATAAAGAACTTGATAAAATGAACTAGATGAGAATTTAGCTTTGGCGACACCAGGGTGTGACACTTCATCTTCTTGATTTGTACTAGGTTCAGTTGAAGTTTAGAGTGCTTGGTTTTTGTGGAGGGCGGAAAAATCGAAGAACCTAAAACCCTTAGAGCGTTTCAAACTTTAACAGCTTGTGATTTCATCTGAATGCCTCAGTACTACAATTTTTCTTTTTCTTCCACCTTTTCTTGTTCTTTCCTCTCTTCCTTCCATTATTGCCTTTCCCAACCTTTGCTCCTTAATTTCTTCCCTCCTCTCTTCCCTTCTTTTATCATTTTCTTTATATTCTTACATTGTCCGAGGAGACTTATTGAATCTCGCTTTACTTCCCAGTGATTGTCTCATTGTTATACCAGTAATAAATGTGTAGTCGTTTTGTTTTAGGCTCTCGCAGAGAAAGTTCCCACACACATTCTTACAATTGCCACTCTCACTGGCCATGCCCGCCTGGCTATGGGTCCTGCCTACTCAGTAAGTATTAATCAAATTGCCACTATTGTTATACAGTCAACTTTCTCACCAAAGCGGTTCCGCACTGTTTAAATTACGTTTTCTTTTATCAGTCAAGTACAGTTCCTGAACTTCCCCATAATTGACCATTCCTCATACTTCTTAAGAAAGCGCAACCATTTTCAGGGGAAAAATTGGATAGCTTCATTACTCGTGCGTTTCTGGAGGATAACCAACTAAACAATGATTATTGTTATGAAATTGCAAAAAAAAAGCTATAAATCGTCACGAAGAAAATAGATATGTGGTATCTCATATGTGGCACTTGAATGGAAGTTTAGTTTGAACAAACGGAGATAAAGTAATTTTAACAAGGAACGCATTTCGAATTATAAACGTGCACGTTTCAAAACCAGAGAATGAAAAAAGCTGGTGGCGTACTGTAATATGTTGCCTGCTATAGTATATAATCTTTTGAAAGGTACTTTTCGTAATTTCAACCGGTAGAATAAATATAATGATAAGTAGTGGTGATAAGAAGAGAATTGGTAAGAAAAAGAATTGGGGAAACTTGCTGAGTATAAATAGGCCTATAGACAGGAAAAAGAACAGATGTGGTAAATACAATTTTGACTTCATGTCCATGATGTGGGCAAGGCCTTGTATTTACCTTCATGTTTTGCTTATTAGATTGTGATTGACAATGGGCCCGCAGCTCGTACCAAGTTTGCTCAAAATATCCAAAAAGGTTAGTACTTTTTACTCATTTAGCCTGGTAATACTAGTCTTTTCAAGAACATGCGAACTGTAAAATACAAAATTCAGTTAGCGTGGATTGTTAGTCGTTGTCACACTTACTCAATAATTGGTTTGTTTATATTTCTAGCTGGACATGACATGGGTGATCCGTTTGAAATCTCGACAGTTCGTAGAGAGGTATTTGATAAGTTTGATTAATAAAATTATCAGCTTAATCTTGTTCTAAGTCGTCGTTACCCTAAAAATCTTTTTTTCACCATTATGATTTAAGTGAATTTCTAAAGTAAGAAATCTCACTTTGCGGCAGACAAAAATTTTCAATCTCTGACTTTTTTGTCTAAAGGAGAAAGCAAAAGCGAATGGGTTCCCTGAAATTCTCCTTCAACGACTTCATTTCAAGTATCCTGAAAATCCTTTGACCCCTGAGAGTGACGGTGACTGACATATAATTTATCCCAACAGTATCATCCCCTGAATCACACAGTTAGGTAACGAGGATAAAGGAAATGGTCACTGACTAAAGAAGTACTTGATTGTTAAAAAAATTCTCTTCATCAGAACCTTAGGAGATGTACCGAGAACAGTATGGAGAATATTCACATTGATGTTAGGATGTAAAGGGTTAAACGTGAGGCAGTGGTAAACTAAAACCAGATAAAAAACAAATAAGATAAAATTTCACTTATCTTTTGCCTTCACATCTGCCTCATGTATCGTACTTCACCACCAGTTTGCATCTAGTTACAGAGAAAACGGATATTGCGGCGTTAGGAAGCGTTCATTTATATTTATTTGTGTGCATTTCTTTTGTAGAATCTTCAAGGGTTAAACTTAAGTCGTTTTTAATCTTACACGGTTGTCACAGAAAATTGTGCCAAAAAGTTTGTTTAACATTGTAATTTTTCAAATCCGTGTGAAAAACTCGGTAAGATTAAACAGATAGGAGTAGGTTGTGTATATTCTTTGTTTGATTTTCAAGGACCAATATTCCTCTTCGTTGGTTTTCACGTAAATTTCACTCAGTTACTTCACGAGCCTCGTTCCAAAATAAAAATTCTAAACCTTCGCCTCTATAAACACAGAATATTCCAAGTCATGGGCGTCCTTTCATCTTAAAGAGCGAGAAACTAAACAAACAGGGAAGCCAGCTAACAAATTTATTGCCTCTATTCAGGATTACGACTTCGTCAAAGCCCATTCAGAGTATGCAGACGTATTGCAGTGTAATAACTCTCCATCCAGCAGAACACCCAGAGGACATCAGTTTCCAGCTGCTTTCCTCATTAGGGCCTCAGGACTTGATAAGGTGAATTCAAATTTTACATTGCAAAGAAGGGTGTTTTCTTTCTGCGCTACTTCGATAAAGCTTCACTGCAATTGAGTACACTGCTGCTAATCGCGCATCGATTGGTTGGATGTAAAGATCCCCTGCTCTTTTTTGATTGAAACATCGAACAGTCAATATATTGTACTTTATTATCACTAAATATATTTATAACAAGTAGAATAATACACGTATTTTGATCGGTTCTCTCTTATGGTGTAATGGAGGACAAGCGCATAGATGACGTCACCAGAAACAACATTTTGCTTCTTTATCTGAGAAAACAAATAGATCCCGTGTTGCTGTGGTTCTGTATAGTTAGAGATCACAGGAGAAGTCAAAATGTGGTAAAACATTGGTGACACACAAGGTTGCGCCTAATTGGCCCTTTTGTCCTTACCACATGTTGACGTCATTTTTGATCTATTATGAACAAACGCACGGCAATATGGAATCTATCTGTTAAATTCATTTATTTATTCATTTATTTATTTTTCATACTAGCATGGTATTGACTCAAACCAGCCACTCTGTTATTCTCACTTTGACATTGCTGGATCAAGTGGAACATTCCCACAAGTTCCTACTGGGGCGCCAGTGGTTGCCATGACAGAAACCTTTCTCAAAAGCCATTGTTGAACAGATCATAAGCTGATCATAGCATTGCACAGCTTCATGTTTTTGCTTGAGCACGAAACTTCAAAGACAAATCAGCACGAGAAATCTGATTTTTGTTGATTTTCGTTTGAGTCAGTTCTAGTATGGTGTAGGAGTCGCGACGGCATATGCGAGGCTTAAAAATAGTTTTGAAAAAAAAAAAAGGTTAAATGAATGATGTAGTGTAAGATGATGGTATAAGGGATTATTTATATGGAAAAGTTAGGAAATGCTTGTGTTAAAGTTGAGCCGAGTTAAACAGGTATTGAAAAGTTTGTCATGGTTTTCTTTTTCGTAGATTCTCGGAGTTTTCGATAACGCTTCGGTGTTAAGTTTGAGCCAAAATATTGCTGGAAATAATAGAAAACAACGTCACATGTCTGTGATTCCTCGCGGTTGCTTAAAAAATGTAGTGGAATATGACTGACAATAAATAAATTCAATGAAAAAAAATTTTTTTTTGTTGCTGATTCTTCCTTTTTTTTTTGTTGGTCATTTTATTACTTAACCCTTTCACTCCCAAGATCTAATTTTCAATTCTCCCTTCAAGCTGCCACACATTGTCATGTAAGTCACCGAGAATTTGGTGTCCAATCAGGACAATAACTTCTACCTGATAAGTTTAAGTAATATTATTACCTGTTTGCTGGATAATGTAAGGATATTATGAGAGGTAACAAATTAATCGCTTCTAGAAGTAAAAGTGTTAAATTAGATTTTCTTAATTCAGGTTAAACGCGAGTTGCCGTAAATGATGTCATCCCAAAATGTGCCTTCCTTTTTATTTTAAGGATCTTCGTGGATCCGCTGAAATTGGTTCCCTCGCTGAAGAAACGCAGGTTAACGTACCCTAAGATATTAGCTTTAGTATTTACGATAACTGCACAAGTCTTTACGTTGGGAAGGGTATTTGGTAGAGCAACATCCCTCCATGAGTCGGAACCAGGTGATTGGAGTTGGCTAGATTATATTACATTGTATTCAGTTCCAGCAGAATCCCCTCGTTATCAATATAATATATTGATATTAGAAAAAAAAAAAGAAACAAAAAAGAAAAAAGAAAAATACCATCGTTAAATGGCAATGTAGATGAATAGCTCATTGCTCATTGCCTTGCGTGACGCATTTGCTCTATTGGACGAAAAACACTGGAACTAGTTAAAGAGGAGATTGGAGTTTTGATACTTTAGAGCAGTGGTTGCAAACTGCCCATTCTGTTCCCCGAACAGGAGCAAAAACAGCAGCTTTAATAACAGTTTCCTTTAAATACATTTTATCTTTTATTTGATGGTATTTGGATTGGAAAATGGCCTCACAGTGAATAAATATCTCTGAAACGGAGACCACGTGTGACAGTCAGTTCAACTATACGTTGGAGGTAAGCAACAAACATGACCTTTATTTGAGCACGATAATCTTAAAGCTATAAGACTTGAGTCTTGTCACTAATATTTAAAAACTAAGCTGCAGACTACTGACTGGGTACAAACGTCGGACTGAGAATAGAAACAATTTGTCGTGTAAATCGATCCTATACGTAAACAGTATTTTTACACAATTTGTTACATAACTATGAATTGTCGCCCAATCACCTTCCTGAGGTCACAATTAGCAAAATTTTGCCTTTTTATGATATATAAAACAATTAATTGTATGCAATGTTGCCGTATAATAGATCACAGGCGATGTCAAAATGTAGTAGGAACAACAGTGATACAATTGGCTGGGCCTCGTGTGCCACTTTCTTGTTCTGACCACATTTTGAGGTCATCTTTGATCTGTTACTGAATAAACACTGGTGTCCAACTGCAAAATCAGACAGAAGTGTCAAAATAAAAAATCAGACACTTGTGTCCAAAAACAATTATGGTACACTAGTGTTTAAGATGAAACCTCAGACACCAGTGTCCAAAATGTGACCCTACATATGATTTTACAGACAAGGGTGATAGCACACTTCCAACACACTTCCATTTACAAACAAAAGAAACCGGCTATAGCATGCTTACTGAGCATGCTAGGGCACATTTTGATGAGAGTGTGCTTTTGTTTCATACAATAATAAAGCGTGTGCTGTTGAACATTGAAGGGTGAGCAGGCAAACACACAAAGCATGTCAACCTTTGAATACAAAGCTAGTATTCAAGCAGACACAGCACACTAGCATGTAATCTAATGCGTTGTACACTTGTTAATTGAATGTAAAGCTAAAGTAATCATTACACAGTCAATGTACTCATTCCTCTAGTAATACTAGTAGGTCAATTAAACCAAAGCTCATATTGATGTTTTATAATAATTAACTTCCTGATCAGAAGAAACAAAGTTGAAACATTTGGCCACAAACGAGTTTCAAGAGTTTAAAACAGACACTTCAATTACTTTGTTCATGTGGAGAAGTAGCTTTTGACAATGTTTGTAACATGTTGAAATACAAAATCTAACCCGCTGCCAGAACAAATTGTGACAATTGCAAAAACATCCCAACATGTCCAAGATATTCATTACTTGCCATGACATATAGCCATATACAGCCAAATTGTTGTAAAATTATATTCCATCAGATGGCCAGAGTCTAGAGTCCAAAATTGAAAATTGCCGTTTTAACTTTTGTAGCGTCACAGCAAGAACTAAGAAAACTACTTATTTGGTTCCAATGAAAAAATTTCACATTCAAAGTTTCCATGATAAGCTGATCAAATTTACATTACTTTTCTACTGGGAAATTTTTTTGTTTTTATGTTTTTATTTTAAGCATGCAGCCCAAACAAGAAACAATGGTGAGTTTGGGTTGAATGACTTGACAATTGCAAGCAAACACTGAGAAAATTATAACTGGAATTGCTAGGCATGCAATGATCTGTCCTAAAAAAGATTTTATTTATTTAAAGTATGATGCATTCAACAGTGCATGATTTGCTGGCAGGCAAAAACTTTGTAAAGTTAAGACAGGACCACAGCAGTAACAAAAAAAAATACCACAGCCATAGGAATGCATATATGGTTTTTCTCTCAAGACTAGTCTGCAACTGGTCTTAGACTTGGTCTATTTGAGTCTAATGTGCATGTTTTTGTCCCCTTATCTTTGAGCTGCACTGTAGTTGACATTGGTGCAAGAAGACTGATGAAATTTTCTATATCACTATAGTTACACTCCTTTGGATGATTTTGAAATATCACTTGCAGTAGACAGAGCTGTAAAGCATATGCACATATCAAGAGTTTTGCCAAGCTTACATTGGAAACCACAACAACACTAGAATTGGTTGAACATTTGAAAAATTGAAAAGCAGCACAGATTTTTTTCTCAGGTTTAGACTCTGACAGAGTCAGTCAGGTTAAGCTTAAAACTTTTGCTACAGCCTGTTCTTCAACAGAGGCACAAAATATATTTTTCACACAATGATTAAATACATGTATCCATGCATATTTGTTGAAATTTAGTTGCAAAATGATGTATTTCAATTGGGGAAATGCATTTTTTGTAAGTTGAGCAACATTAATGTTAACATTAATTTAATTTATTAATTATTAATTTTGCCATGGATGAAGGTTAAGAAGGCTTACAACATTTTCGAAATTACATGTACTGTACTGCCATGTTGATTAATATATACTGCGCAGGCATTATTCAGCTCTATCCTTGCAGTTTCATTGCCAAATACCACTACCAGTCAAATTAATGTGAATTTTTTTTCACTAAAAATCATTTGTCTCCCATGTACAATGTACAGTTTTACTTCTAAGGGTATTTAAGAAGTTCAGATAAGATAAATAGGATAGCTATTTATATATTATGATAAAAGAGTGGTACAGTAAACATTGTTAACAAAAATGGGTGCCACTTTAAGAATGCCAAATGAGGTAGATATATTTCTTGAGCAAATACAAAATATACTGATGGGAATGTTTATTTCACATGCAGGTGCTAAAAAGAAGAATAAAGTCAAGCCTCTAACCTGACTGTGTGACTGAAGGATCTTTGAATTACAGTTTGTTGCGGTACTCCTTTTGTTTCCTGATGCTGAAATGTATGTTGGTCTTGAGTGATGGTATTTGGTGTGCGACAATGTCAGCATTCAGGTCAACTGTTTCAGTTCATGAAGTGCTAGAAGTGGACTACTTTTGAGTTATGTAGGTCAAGAGTTCATTCATCTTCACTACAATGTAGTAAAAGGGGGTAAGTTTCTAAAGAAGCTGTGGTGCTGCATTGGTGGGAGAGTATAACAGGTCATTTAGTGTTAACATCTCAGTTAAAATATAAATTGGCCACCATAAAGAGTTTAAAGGCTGACATTTCAGTTGTTAGCCTTTTTTTAGAGTGATTGCCATGCGTTAGCCTAATCGCACTGACAAAGGGCTAATGCTGGAAATGTCAGCCTTTAAACTCTCTATGGTGGCCAATATATGTTTTCAACTCAGTTGTTAATATTACATTTCCTGATTGACTGGCTGACTGACTGATTGACTGACAGACTGACTGCCTGGCTGGCCTGCTGGCTGACTGACTGACTTCCAGACTGACTGGGTGACTGACTCACTGACTGGCTGACCGACTGACTGGCAGCTCTTGAAAGGAAGGTGAGTTAGCTGCCTGTCTGGGAAGTTAAATCTAACCAAAAACATCGTTTAACAAATTTACTCAATGGCTTTGTATACTTGAATTCTGTCCACACAACTCGACTAGTTTTTTGCGTTCGCATTCGGTCTTCATTCGAAGGAGTTGTAATAGCTTTTGCAAAAGAAGTCTAACAGCAATAACATCTAGGGCCATCCGTGACTTGGCCATTCTAAAACTTTATCCATGTGACTTAGTGCCACGGTAAGTGTGTAGTCGTTATGTGCTGTCGCCTTTTTCAGCGCCAAAATAACTTGCTACCACTTTTCGGTTAGAGTCGGATTATTTCTTCTTGAGTGGAGGCGTAAGGAAATTGGATAGAGTAGTGAAATGGAGTTTACTTTTACTTTTATTCCTTTTTGAATTTTTCTGTTATAGATGTACGTTAACCAAAGATTAAGGTTCAGTAAATGGAGTAGCAATCTGGCAGATACTTACACCTGCAAAATTGTTTTGCACAAATTATCAATTCGAGATAGACAATGACTTATTTGAAGATTGCAGTAGTGAAAGAATTGTTTGTCTTGTCTTCGGGAATTGAAAGTTTCAAGCTGATATGTTGATATACTGATTTCAGGGTAGAAATTTCAACATCTTACCTAGTTTTGGTAATATTTTTTAGTTCAGGCGTTTGGTTTGACAATGGAGACCTTGAGGAAACCACGACGGCTTTGGCAACAAGAACGTGGCCGAACAAAAGGTTCAATGAACGCATCTGTAGCTCAACGCTTGCGTTTTAACACGTGCGTTTCCTAGCTGTTCTCTACAAAACAACAACTTTAAATCACCAAATTTGCGTGGTCTGAGGAAGGGAGCTGTTCACGTTTCCATTTGA